CTTCCTTCCCTGGTTCTTTTTGATTTACAATTATTACCTCAGGGAAAGTCTGTCCCTCACCCCCTGATTCTTTCACATTTGAAAGAATAAAGAATTTTAACTGTGAATGATAAATGAAAAGCAACCCTAGTATTTCAGACTTAAATTCTGAAATCAACAATGTTAAATCAGTGCTCCAAATGTTAAATAAGTTTTTGGAGACATCAGCACTCCATTTTAACTTGTACAACAACCTACTCATTGTCTTTATTAGATGAACTAAACTGAGTTATTCCATAGTGATTACATTTGAAGGATAAAATGAATTAAAAGGGCAAACCTAAAAAACAAGTATTATAGTTATCTAATGTCCATCAATATCCAAAAGGCAGAGCCAAATCCTGATAATTTCAAGTTATTAGATCAGGATTGCTGATCACACAAAGACAAAAACTTCATTTTAATATAAAATATTTTATTATATTTACTAAAAAGCCACATATAAACAGAGCTATCTCTAATTTTTCTATCTGAACTGAGACTCTCCTTTGGGCAATCATTAAACTGCCAATATTCTTTCCACAGAAGCTCCAACAGATTAGTTCGTTTTCAAAATCACACCTAAGCAGACATTTAACTTATATAGATATACCCTTACACATTTCATGTACCCTAATGTTCTTTTTCCCACAACTGGTAATGAAAGGAATTATTACAGAGGAAGTGTTGGTCAGGAAACATCATGTTGTGGTTTCCAGGAGGTGACCTTCAGTGGCCTTTCCCACCAACATCCAAGGTCATGATCCCTATTGTATCTGCATTATCTGCAACAGTCCTTAAACTTTAAATGTGCAATAGGAGCCCCTAGGGTTCCTGAGAAAAATGCAGATTCTGATTTAATGGATTGCAGTGTGGATTGAATTTCTGCATTTCTAACACTTTCCCTGTGATGTCTATGCTGCTGAATAGACCACATTTTGAAATCTCAGTTGGCAAATGGCAGTCTAGGTTGGCAGCCTAATTTTTGTAGATAAAATTTTACTGTTAATTTTCAGGTAGAATTGGGGAGTTGTGACAGAGACCTTTTGTCCTTTGAGCCTAAAATAGTTTCTATTACTTTAGTAATAGTTTCTATTATTTTCTATTACTAGACAAGGAAATCACTTGTCTAGTGACAAGTAATTTAACCTAACGTTGATTCTTGAGTTACCTTATGATCACCCCATGTTGGAAAGTATTTGAGAGTTATAGTAATATTTTACCTTTAAAGAGCTATGCATAGTAAACATCACAGACTCAGGAGAAACCTCAAATAAACCTTTCTGCTTACTTGATAATAATAGATGGAAAATATTATAGACATAATTGAACTCAACTTTAGATTATTTATTGATAGTGCACTATGGCTTAAATTGCCTATGAGAACTAGCAAAGACAGACTTGTTGAGGGTTACGATTGAAGAGAAATATCTCAAAGTCCTGGAAGTACTTGTGGAGCTTAAGACAGGAACATTTGCATTTTTATACTTCAAAGTCTTCCTTTCAGAGAAGTCAAATAAAGATAGTCTTCCATATGTCTCAAGAAAATGTAAGTGGAAATAAAGAGAGTTAAATAGCACACAGTGCCAATTAAAGCTATAAGCAGAGTTTGGGAAAATGCAAGTTTTCTCAATTATTATACTAAACCAAGAGATTAAACTATGGTTCAAAATAGTGTCACAGAACAGGGGTAATTCTAAACAGAACATGTACATTTGTGCACACATGCACACACACGTACCTATACGTCTATATCTATCCATCCATCCATACACACACACACACGTAGCACACACAATTGAATACAACTCAGTGATCAAAAAAGATGGACTCATATAATTTGCAACAATATGGAAATGGAAGGGATTATCCTAAGTGCAGTAAGCCAGAAGGAGAAAGACAAATAAATATTAGATGGCTTAATTTATATGTGGAATCTCAAAAAAAACCAACAATGGATCAGTGAAAGACAAGCTTTAAAACCAACTCTTGAAAGCTGAGCAAAGATCTGAGGCATCCAGAGGACACAGATAGGGAGAAGGGAAAGGGAGAAAATTGGGGGTAGAGGGGAGCACTGTGGGGTACTCTGATGGAGAGAAAAACTGATGATCACAACAGAGGGTAGAAATCCTATACTATGAAAAACCAAACTAGGACATCAGATAATGATGCCATTAACACAAATTAAAAAATAAACAATATGTGTGATTTAATTTTTAGTGATATAAAATCTGTGCTACAGTGATACCATCCAAGATTTCACGCTGAAAAGTAAATAACCATAATTTATATTTTTGGACAGATAAATGCCCCAAAATGCATTTGTATATCAACATTTATAGAGGAACTATATTTAATACTGTGGATCAGGATGGATGTTTATATTTCTTCCGAGGTATACTTTAGAATCTGAATTTTAGAGTATGAATATATCACTTTTCAGTACAGAATCTGCTATTATGAGGAATTTCAGACAAAACAGAACAATGCCTCAAGTTTGAGACATTAAAAAAGAGGTGATCACCTGGAAAATGGCTTAAACTAATATAATGCATCTGATGAATATAATTAATCTGGTGCATAATTAATCTGCTTTTATCAGTATAGCAACTAATATGATCCACAGATGAACACTGATGAGATAGAAACATCCTAAGGCCAGTATTGAAGAGGGGATTAATGCCTCTGACTGCATGATATGGGAATCAATTTTATGTTTAAACTAAAAGCAAGAAAAGGAATTTTTTTCTTGAATACTCCTTTAAATCACTTCCACTATTATTTGGCAAGATGATTATCAACAGGAGGCAAAGGTTGTAGGGACTGCAGTGTCAGGAGTGTGTAGGCTAGTTACAGCATTCTACTAAGTCAGAACAGACAGAACACATCTGAGCAAAATAGTAACTGTCAAAAAAGTCAGGCAATAACAACTTGATTTCTTCCACAATGACTTTAGGTAAATATGTTAGTAAATATTAAAATAGCTCATTGGATCTACATCATAAGATGAGGTTTATAAGATAGGAATGACATTGGACAAACACAAAGAATTAAACTGGAATAATTTACTTAGTTAAGGATTCCAGAACCATATACAATCCCAGGAAGTTCTGACCCCTCTTTTTTCTGTGTGTATTTTTCCTCCAGAATAGAGACAATAGTGGATTCTTTAAGCTTTGAGTTGCCAATGCTAAGATAGGAAATCCACTGCCGGTGGCCAATATAAATTATTTTTGTACTTTTCTAATGGATCAGACATTTTTGTGAGAGCAGGGTATTTTAAGAGTATTGATTATTATTTTTTTTAATGACTGGTAAGTGGCTCATGGAAGCCCTCGTGCATCTAATTAGCAGATCAGGGTAAAAGTGATAATATATGGGAGTCATTCTGAAAGCTCATAGGTGATATTAAAAACAAATGATCATCTTAGTGATTCACTGTGCATAACAATTTAAAATGTGAGCAAATACATGCTACATTCCAGAAGAAACACTTCTAAAGTGATTTTCAATCTCACATTAATGACTAGTTCTGCTCTACATTATCATCATATCTCAGTATGGTAAGATTACTTACATCACACTGGTGTTTGTTATATAGAGAATACTCAGTTTCTGTTAGAATGTTTCCCCATGGTTATCATTATAAACACTAAACTCTGTAATTTCTGTTAGTGTTTCAACTGCATGAATTAATCTTAAACTTAGCAGTAAATCTATAGTAATCCAAAAATATTTATAGATTGGCCTATACAATACTATGGAGACCTTATGGCCCGTATCACAAGACTTAGATAAAATTGGAATTATAGGATACAGTTAAAAAAAATAGGACAATGTTTTCGGAAACATTTTTTGTAGGGAAGGTTTAAGAGATCTTAATAAATGTGTTGTTAGAATTTTTATGCTTTATAAATGTGGTTCTATTCAATAAAATACAATAAAACTGAAAGAACACTGTTACAATAACAGAAGTTCTTTCAGCAAGGTTGGAGAGTAACTACCAAGCACCACCTCCCATCTGGCAATTTTAAACTCATCTTTCTTTGGTCACCTCCTAGTAAAAGGGAGGACTACTGTCCAGCATTTGCAAATAGGTGACCTCAATGATTCAGGCTTACCCACTATAAATCAATCTCATTTTGTTATAAAAAGATACATGTATTAAAATAAAATAATAATGGGCAAAGGCTGCTAAGGCTGACTTAGCACTACATACTCTGGTCAGATAGCTACTATCTACAAAGTTTGGCATCTCAATTATTATCACTGCATTTACCTATTATATCTAATTAATATCACTGCATTTATCTATTATTTCGGTTTTATTTTATTTGGGTCTTAGAAAACAAAAATAGGCACAGGTTCCTAAAAGTATATACAGTTTTCTGCTTTCATTTATTGTTATTCTCAACTCAATGAGGGATAAACAAGTATTTTGAGTTTTCACCAATAATAGTTTTCAACCTTTCTTCTCTGCCTCTTAATGACATGTTGGGCACGTAACACATCTTACCAATTTGGTTATGAAAAGTATCTGGTGTGAAACTTTATTCTGAAATTGATTCAAATCCTCTCTCCTCCTCCCCCACCCTTTCTGTGTATATATATATATATAGGTGAGCCTATTCAATACTCTCTCTCTCTCTCTCTCTCTCTCTCTCTCTCTCTCTCTATATATATATATATATAGCTGAGCCTATTCAATAGACTCTAGTTAAATCCCAAGGGAGGCCTGACAGCATTTTGCCTGCCTTTAAGATTTCCTTGTCATCAACTTCAGACTTGGCCGTAACTTATGGACAATGACACATGTCCAAGAATGTCTTATTACCCATAGATGATGTATGTACAGTGTGGAGCCCCAGTACTCAGTTTTTGACACACTTCATTAAATATTCATTTTCTTGCACTACAAGTATGTTTGGCCTTTAGTCCTAAAGATAGCAGATATACATAACACTGAAGAAAAATGGGATTACCGTGACTGTTACATCTGGATGTTTCCACAAGTCTGCTGTTTTGATCGTAGCATGCCATTGCCTGATAACGATATCCTTGTCCACATTCTCTGATGTCTCCTTGCGCTTTCATTCCCAGTAGCACATCCACTTTACCTTCTGGCAAAATGCAATCTGACCAGTTTCCCACAGGCTGTAAATTGTATTTGTCACAAGGACAATATTGAGTCTCAATCAGGGGATACAAATGAGAGTTCTTACATTTCTCCTTCTTTTTACTTTTTCCTATGGAGTAGAAAGCACCAGACAATTATGTTGGAAAATATCATCACTAATTTCAAGCATTCCTAAGTTTTCCACTTCCCTAGAGTTTTTTCTTTAGTTTTAACCATATTCAACAGTAACCTATACGTGAATGCTATTTTCTTGTCCCACAGTACTTTACACAGAGGATATTGGCAGTTCTGGGTGCTTTGCAAAACAAATTTTTAAAAAAAAATTTTTTTCCCTTTAAAAATAGCCCATTTTGGCCCTCCCTGGTGGCGCAGCGGGTTAAAGCACTGCACTGAGAAGCTAAAAGCCACTTCCGCATGAGTTCGATTCCCGCCTGCCCCAGAGGTGACCACATGGTGTGGCAGACCTCTCCTGACCCGC